TATATGTGTGTGTGTGTGTGTGTGTGTGTGTGTGTGTGTGTGTGTGTGTGTGTGTAGATATTTCTATCAGTATAAATACCTAGTAGGCCAATAACGTAATTAGAGAATATCATCATTTTCCTTGTTCAATCTAAATCATTCCTGGATGGTAATTAGCAAGATCGTTAAGAACTGGGAAGTATGTTTCAGAAAAAAAGTCAGAGAACTAGCTTCAAAGAATATGGTAGTGAGATGCTTAGCCATGCCTGCAGCAGTGTGAACAGGGCAGAGTCAAACCAGCATTGAGACATAATTCTGTGTGGGTCATAACTGTATGGCCAACAGTGGAGAGTGAGTGTGAGCCCTAGTGGCTGCTAACAAGTCAAACTAACATTTTGAAGTCCAGGTCCAATTAGAGTGAGGCAGCGGCCACAGCCCGGTAGGACTTGCCAGTGGGAATGCTCTAGGCAAGCATTTACTGCCTGCCCCTAGTCACAAGGCTGCCACCTATGTCTTGTTTATTTCTGTGGAGCATACCCTTTCTTTCGTTAAGAATTTTTACCAAATGTTAGACCTGAGAACATTCATTTAGAAACTAGAATACTGTCTGCATGTAATCTCATGACTGTTTCATAAATGATCACAAGTAGGTTTTTTAAGAAAAATATTTCCCACTAAACATGGCACATCACAGAGAATGAAGGAAAGAAGATCTAGATATCTGGGTTGTCCTAACTGCCACAAAGCAGGCTGGGAAATACCCATGATGCCAGGTGGCGTTCAGAGTCCTTAGGGTCAGAGGGCCTGCTAATGGCACATTCTATCTAATATAGAAAGGGTTGCATTTGTGCATTTGGCTTAAGAAGACTAAATAGGTATTTGGGAGGCCCAAGTGTCTGTAGGGCAGAACTCAGCTAGCACAGGCTATTTTGATAACCCCGCGTGCATGTCTTCCTATGAGGGGCATACTAGACTGGTCCCCCTAGAATGCTGTGCATCTCAGACTCTCATGAACCCTTAACTGTAGTCTTCTTACCTACAAGGTCTCAATTACAAATGTTCTCCAAAATTCTAGCAGCAATTAGACAAGCTACTATGAAAGAATGCATTATACATCAGTTAAAAACATATGCAAACCAAGGATCATTAGAGAAAGATAATATTCATGCAGATTTTACAAACCGTGTCTTTAGGGTGGCCCAATAAGTAGAAATATGGGGACCCATGCTTGTCACTTTTCATGCACATGGAGAGACTGGAAGGTACCATTCCTAAAGGAAGGGGAGGAACAGCCTAGGACCAATCATTAGAATTAACAGAACCAGTGACAAAGACATTATTACTGTTAGAGTCAAGATTGCTTAGTATGTTTAGAGCAGTTGAATAAAAATTACCTAGGTAGTAAGAATAAAAACTTCAAGTAAAACTAAGCCTATCAGGCATGCAGCAAGTGAAATTAGTGAAAGACCAAGATATATGTATATTTCAAAAGTAGACTCTTCGTAGTTTTTCTCTCAAAATATCGAGGGCATCCTGAGGTGCTTTTAGGGAGGCACAGATATGAATAAAATTTGAGCTGGCAATGCCAGAAACCTTACACGTTTTTCTCATAATAATGGGTGTCCCAGTGATAGCAGCTGTCATTTGAGAATCAGTCATAGTAATTGTTCCTAAATTGTAAGAGATTCTAAGCCACAGACAGGGAGTTCCCATGTTCACATTTTAATTTTCCTGAATGTTCTAATCAGTTCTTATAGTTCTCACCTATAACACTCTGCCTATGTATATTCCAAGCTCACAGCTGACTTGTTGGATCTGATTGTTTTCCAGAAAGAAAATGGAAAGCAGAAAAAAAAAAAAAGTGCAGCAGCTCCTTACACTTCCACCCTGCTGCTCACCGGCCACGGCTGTGCTCCGGAGCCAGTCTTCAGGATCGCTTGGATGAACCTATAACCTCTTGGTCTATGTCTGACTGCAGGTGATGGGCTCCAGTCCTACCTACACAGTCACAGACACTAGACATTCTGGAATATTCAGGTCAATAGCCCCCAAGGTACAAGTGGCCAGGAGAGGCCCTACCATGCCTGCTACTGTGCTCTCTGCTGACCCTGTGTGAGAGATGGGTTTGAACTCACTAAGGGGGTAGCATTATCCAAGGAACTTAATCCATGGAACTCAGACCTGCCGTTCTTACTTTGCAGAGTCCACTCTTGACATTCCTTGTACACACTCAGCTGGCTCCCTACATGGGACCCGGCTTATCTGTACAGAATGAACCAAGACTCTACATCGGTTTGAGATGATGTGATGGGGGTGTTTTGTCTAGTGCATTGTGCTCACAAAAGAAGGAGGGGTGCAGCAGGAGACCCACCTAACACACTGGGCTAAGTACAGAGAAGAACCTCCCCGTGGTCAGGAAGCCAGAGCCTGACAATGAATGCCATAAGTGGAAATTAAATTTCAGGATTTACTAATTGAGTTTGCCATTTAGCCCTGCCAAGAAGCAAGTAATTTCATGTGGAAATGATCAAGCTGCTTCAGTGTCACACAGAGAAGGCTCTCCCTGGGTTTCAAACATGGCCTTTACGAGGCTTGAAAACATATGTGCTAGCTAGGAAACTGCAGGCTCCCAAGGTGAAACCAAAGGGCCAGGGACCGGGCCGGCCGGCGGAGGCGCACTGCTGTGAATACAGAGGCTAGCAGAGCTCCACACACTGTGCTGGGCACAGTCGTGCATGCTTCGTCATAGGCTGTGCCCCCTCTAAAAGCTACTGCCCTGATGGCCCCAGTGTCACCATGAGTTAGTGTCCCCCCAAAAGAGTGGGGGTTTTCCAGAAGCATAAAAGCAGCCAAGCCAAGCCTGAGCCGTGAAACAGTTACCAGCCGTCCAGTGTTGAGAGCTAGTCTCATTTATTCCTTTAATCCTCTAAGCAGCACATCGAAACACTACGTGATTCTCCAAGTTTAGAAATTTTCTTACAATTAGATCGTTTAATTCAAGCCCAGAGTAAGGCATTATATGATTTTTGATTTTCGCTCCCAGCTGAAGGAATTCAGTTCAAAAGGAACATTGGGAAGTCCTTACCAGGGCCAGTCATTGGAGCAAGGGTCAAGATCTAGCCTTAGGGTAGCAAGGGGAAAGCAGTGCAGAGAGAAGCAGTTCCCAGCGGTCAGAAGAGCCGCGTGGGCGATGCAGTGTGGGGCAGATGCCACCATGCATTTGTTTCAAACCAGGACGCGTACAGCACTAAGGGTGAACTCAATGCCAACGGTGGGCTTTAGGTGGTGGTGATGTGTAGGACCCTCATTTGCAGCAAAGGAGCCACTGTGACAGGCCATGTTGATGTCGGGGAGGTTGTGCCTGCACAGGGTCAGGAAGTTTACAGGAGGTATATGTGCCTTTCTCTTAAGTGGTCTATGTGCTGAAATGACCCTGAAACCCTGTAAGGTTAGGGATGCAGCTCAGCTGGTAGATTCGATCCCCCAAACTGTGTACACTGGGTGTGGTGGTACATACTTGTAAACTCAGCATTTGGGAGGTGGAGGCAGAAAGATCATAAGTTCAAGGTTGTCCTTGCCTACATAGTGAGCTCAAGGCCAGCCTGGGATATGTGAGACATTAAACGATTAAGTCTAGGGGCTGGAGAGAGATACTAGCGGTTAACAGCACTTTGCTTTGCAAGCTTGAAGACCTGAGTTTGGATCCTGGCTCTCAGGTAAAAGTCGAGGCATGGCTCTGTGGCACCTGTAACCCCAGCACTGTGTGGAGTGGAGATAGGAATATTTTTGGGACTTGCGGACAGCCAGTCTATACTGAAGTAGATGAGAGACTGTCAGGAGAGTAAGATGGGTCAGGAATTCTCTTCTGGCTCAAACCTGTACACACACACACAAACATGCTTACTTCTCTCTCACACATACTTAACACACAAACACACACAGAGAGGCTAGGACTCACAGTATTGTGGTTTCAAAATGGCCTCTGGTAGGTTTCTGGGTTGGGGAAACTACTACAGGTGCCTTTGAAGAGCTGCTCTGGGGTCTGGGTTTGCTGGCTGTGGCTAGACCTACCATGAATGTGACGTAAGGGATTGACTTTGCTTTGAGCACAGGAAAGCAGGACTTTGTTGGCAAATTCCTGTATAAAGAGCAAAACCTTTTCTGCAATAGCAAACCAGACAGTGGGTCCAAACAGCCTTGGTGTGTGCAATTAACTTCTTGACTCATGTAGCTTAGGGGTTGGAAGCTCATTTGGAATCAGCCATGTCAGACTGCCAACCATGGCCCCAGAGTGGAGACTACTCAGACTGACAAGAAGGCAGCAGACAGAAAGCACAGTGAGAGGAAAACTTAGTCTCTTTCCATATCTAAGCTTCAACAGCTAAATCTAAGAACGGGGAGTGACCAAGTGGGCCAGAGAGTGTGACGTATGCAGATTCCTCCTTCACAGTGGAGCTGGAAGAGAGAAATCCAGCAATCTCCCGGATATCAAGGCCTCTGAATATGCTGGGACACACTTGAAAATACAGTGTGTGCCAGAGAGAGAGAGCTCCCTGGGTAAAGCGGCTTTGTGCCAAGCCTGGTAAGCTGAGCATGACCCCAAACAACAGTTGTCCTCTGACCTCTACATTTACACACACACACATGTAAATAGATGTCATAGACATTGAAAATATTCTTCAGAGTCCCTAGAGGGTTTATGAGGCATGAAAGGGAGAAAGCACAGGCCCTGTGGATTTCAAAGGCTCTATCACTGCTGTAAAGTGGTGTGTGTGTGTGGTGTGGTGTGGTGTGTGTGTGTGTGTGTGTGTGTGTGTGTGTGTGTGTGTTTGTGTGGTGTGTGT